ATGTTACCGACAATTTCGGTTTCTAGACCCTATCCTTTCACTCTAGGGAAATACTACATTTTCACATTCAATATTTAATAATAGTATAATTCCGTCAACTGGGGTTAATCATAATAATGTCTTAGTGTATGAAGCAAATCGACAAGATATTGAACAAATTCGTATTTGGCAATATAATCTGGAAATTCAAAAAGAACAGTTGAAACGAATGTTGTTATATGGTTCAAGAGAACAAACAGGGGAAGAAGGTATATTAGATCTATATTATGTTTTGGATATATTTTTATCTAAGTAATAAATATGATACAATTTAAGAAATAATTAATGACAGACGATTCTCTGATCCATCTGTTCATGTACTCGATGATCATTATACTGATTGTACGAAGTCAGTCATAATGGAACCAAAACATACTATCAATGGATCGTCATTGAATTTTGTAGAAATTTTCAATTTTAATTATGAGCAAGCAAAAATTTTTAGAAGTATTATAAGTTATATTGAAAGTACTATACTTTATCAAACTAGTAAAGATGTAAATCGTACAAAGCCTGAACAATTACTTATATATATTGGTGCGTATATAATATTGATAACGTACACTTGTTCATATGACATATATTTAAATTTATGCCACACTAGGTGGAGCAGGTAGTTGTGGTAAATCTAGAGTGACCGAAGCAATATCTGCGTTCATGTCTCATCATAATCGAACGCATACATTACGAAGTCTTGCACCATCATCAGCAGCTGCTGTAGGTATCGATGGTTTAACTATACAATCGATGCTACATGAAGGACGTAATAAAACATCTAATAATTGCACTTTAACACAAACAAATATATCAGCTACAGAAATTGAATGGCGAAACATTGACTATTGTTTAATAGACGAAATTTCAATGGTTGGTTGTTACATGTTAGCTCGACTTCATAGAATAACTACAATAGCAAAACATGCTGAACCAACAATTCCATTTGGTGGTATTAATATGATATTTCTAGGTGACTTTGTACAGTATCCACCAGTGCTTGATCGACCACTCTATTCAAATATATTATCACCCACTGATACTTTAGCTAGTACTCACAATACTATTAACCAAACTCATAGACGAGGTAATATAACTGAACGTGATATACAATGCAAAGTTGGACGTGCACTTTGGCTCCAAGTGAATAACGTATTCTTTTTGACAGAACAAATGCGTAATAAAGATCCAT